GGGCACATTGGGTCTGGCTGCTGTATGAGGGCAGGCTTTGGCTGCAGTGGGAAGGGAATGTTGCCAGGCAGTTCCCAACACAAAGTTAGCTCCTGGTAGCCTTACCTTGCTTTGGACTACTGGAGATGCAGATGCTTTACAGTATGCCAAGACTCTGCCAACAAACTCTTGGATGTGAACACCTGCGGATGTTGACAGGCTAAGTTAATCCACGTACATGGGAAAGTGTTGCTCATATTCTCTTAAATTCAGGGTTCACCAAAGCAACTGTGGCCTCTGGATAAAAAGCAATCTACCCCACATCCCAAAACTAGTGCTTGAGTGATCCTGGTGTTGCCTTTTTCCCAACCTGGAAATGAAACTCAAGATCATTTTAGTAAGGAGGTAATATAAGAGTGGATCTTTATTTGAAGGCCTTCAGGGGCAGTTATGGAAAGATGTCCACCCTCCCAAGGATGAGTACATTTTTATTGGTTTTAGGAAATTAGGTTTTAGGAATTTAGCATAATTGATAAAAAGCACGAATTAGGAGGACAAATGTTGATGTTGACCCCTTCCCAGGTCAAGCCCCTTCTCTGGAGTCCCCACTCAGCACTAGCTGGGCTTTGTCCATGAAATGTGTCCCAAAGAGTTGTTGTAGGCCTTGGTTCCCAGGAGGGAATAGCAGAGGGGCCCTGCACCTCCCAGGGCTTGGAGCTCTGCAATTTCTCTTGTCTTTCTGCCTCGGGAAAGGCCACGGAAAAGTACTGGGGAAACCAGCCACTAGTACAATAGGCTACAGAGCTACAAATATATGTGTGAAGAATACAGAGAGCATATTAAAGTAAAAAGGCAAAAAACAAACAGCATCACTGGTGCTCTGGGCATCACTTTGTCCTTTCTCAAAAGCAGCAGCATGGCTCCAGGCCACCTACACAGCTGTCTGGTTGTGACTGGCCAAATCCAGCCTTCTTTAACAAAAAAATAGGCCTTACCCAGACTGAGAGTAGGCATCTGCCAGGACTGCGGGACCAGACCCCAAACCTGGGAAATTAAACATAGCTCAATCAAAGGCAACAGGGAAAAAAAGTCACCTGGAAAGAGTTAGCCATTCAATGTGGAGGCAGGGGGGAGGGCATGCTGCTTTAATCTTTTTATAGTATAAAAATTTTGTGACTGAATTAAAGCCCTACTGTTTGGACTGGATGATGTTATGTAATTCTCAGAAACGAGAGCAGCTGGCCATGGTACAGATACCTCCTAGCAAGCCCTGCAGTGCACAGAACATCATTTACCAAGGCTGTAAAAAAATACATTTATTAAGGGGCTTGGGAGTGAAATTTGACATGCTGGCTAGGCTTTTAGCTGTCTGGATTTCATTTACAGCTCCTCTGTTTTATTTTCCACTTAAATAAATAAATTAATTAAGCTGTCTTTGCCCACTTTTCCTAACTGCTTTTTTGGCATGCCTGTGGGTGAATCCGGTGCAGAGAGCCAAGGGGTATTGATAAGAATGTTGCTAACCTTGTAATAGTAATGTTGCTAAACAAGCAAAGGCAAAATCCAAATTCAGGAGGATGTGGAAAAAGACAGACAAGTAATGGAAGCATTAGAAATCACTGATTGTTGGAAATTTTCACTCTGAGGAAAATTGAGAATAAGAAAAGGTCCTGAGCCCACCAAAAAAAGTGAGTTTTACATTTATTCCTATATCCTGATCCTTCCTCTTGTCTTTCACACACCTCTTCCTGCCAACTACACTACCACCAGATTTGCCATTTCTTACTTGACTTTGCCTCTTGTCTTTACTTGTGGAATTGGGGGTTGGCGGAGGAGATGGAGGGGGCGGAAAAATCGTGGTTGTGGGGTATGTGTTCTGCCATTTAGATACAGGACAGATTTTGTTGCTCATGCAGTTGCCAAAATGGACCCTTAGGTCATCCTGGTGTTCTTGCCTTGCTTTGCACAGGTGGATGGTGACACTGGCTGCACTTATGCAACCCATCCTGACTTTCCCACAGCACTCAAGTCTGACAGCAATGTCAATGTGTTGATCATCTACCCATAAATTATGTGGTTGAGAAATAGGCAATACTTTTTTTTTAATACTCTTTCCCAAAGTGATTAAGAGCCCTTTGGAAAATATGTCCCTGGATCGGCTGATCAGCTATGCTCCAAAACGTCTTAGGACCCGGAAAGTCTGGTCCTTGTCTCAGGAAATTTCTCATTTAAAAATAAAATAATTAATTCCATCCTGCCCCCCCCCCCCCCCCCCCCCCCCCCCAGTTTATTCCAGTAGTACCATCTACAGCTACATACTTAAGTAAAATATTTGAAAGCATGCAAATGTAAGTATCTGAAATCCTGAAATCTTAAAGAATTAAATCTGTAACTTTAATTCTGAAGGTCTCGAAAAATGCACATGATAGCCCTGGGGATAGAAGGAATTTCAATTCTTCCACACTTTGGAAATCAGCTTAGCTGCTTATAGGCCAAATTTTATTTAGCTATCCCTCCCAGCAGTACTTGCCACCAGAAACATGTGAATGTTTAGGAGCTATTGCTGGATTTTTTAATCCCTGCATTTGGTGTTTTAGGATTTTAAGAATGGCCTGATGCTTTACCTTACCTATGGTGGCAGACAACTGCTTACCTAGCAGTGTGCTGGGCTACTAAAGCAAGTGCAGTGATCAGTGCTCATGGTTGGGCACTGGGAAGAGGAATGCAGCTTTCTGACCTCCCCATAGGCACCATGCCAGGCATGAGCTGAGCCAGCCATAGGGCTTGCTGTGGCTTTGCACGCTGCCTGTGCTATTGCCATTTTCAAAGTGTGTCTTTTTTCCTCCTGGCTGAAAGATCCAAGCAGATTTTGGGAGACCAGCTAGTACAGAGGAGGACATATATGCCACCATCCAGCATCAGCTAACTGGACGCTGGTAATTTGTCACTTTGGTATTAATTTAACTGAGCAGCAGAGTCAGAGAGCAGTATCAGGTGGGCAAGGATCCCAGCAGCATACTGGGCAGCACAAGAGAAGAACTAAGGGCCATATTCCAACCCTGGAAGTGAACGTGCTGGCTTCAGCTGGAGCCATGTGAACGTAACTGCTGCCAGAGAACAGGCCCCAAAGTTCAGTGTTTCTCCAAATGAAGTATAAAAATAATTATGAGCTTAGCCTGCAAAACTTGGGTCCGAATTCATAACCATCTGGTGTTAATGGCCTGAAGTGAAACTTCAGACAAAGGTTTCATTTTACTTATTATTCATGAGAAAAGCTTCTGGCCAGTGACTGCAGCTTTGCTTATTACTGATGGAGCTTCATACCTGCTGCCTCGCTGAGGGGTAAGGAGGTGCAGAAGCCTGATACTGCTCTGCTTTGACTTTAGGCAGGTGGCACTGAGCAGAGACAGTGGGATTGCTTGAAGCATGCAGAAGATTTAAGAAGCTCAATATAATATTTATCTTCTCGCCATTTTCACTTAACTGACACTAAACTTAATCTTCTAAAAAGCCTCTTCCCAAGAGTTTATTGAAAGGCAAAAAGGATTGCATGCTGAACTTAACTCCAACTGCTACTTATCTATGAGCTGTTTTTAGGCTCTTTGTCAAAACAAACCTCAGCTGCATACTAGCTGAGAACTGGGTGGAAGGACTATGTGGAAAGCATATACTTTTTTTCAGTTTAACTGAAATTTTGCAGACAAAGACTTCCCATCCCAAATAGTGGGGACACTATTAGAAACACTAAGGGGAACATTTAGATGCTCTAATTCTGAGCAGGGCAAACAGAAGATGCTGATGTGGTGAGGTATGTTGATAAGGAGAAACACACAGATAAAAGTGGCGAACAAGATCTCAGGCTTTTCTGACAACACTAAGAGAAACTTCCCTGCTTCTTAAAATTTCTGATGGAGATTTTTAGACATTACTGTGTGGTCTAGAAGCTGTAACTCACTAAGCATGAGAAATTTGAGTAAGAAATAGCAGTGCTTTTGAGCCTGCTTCTGTACAGACATTCTGGTGTTTCCATTAAAAATTTTAGGTCAAAACTCAAATGTTCCAGGTGGGAAGTTTCTCTTCTCTGCTTTTCTCTATGTGGTCCAAGTACAGCAGCTTGTTAAGACCATCAGGGTTGTGTTTCTGGATCAAAATAAGTTTTCAGCAAAAATACTTCAGTTGTTATTTCTGGCCAACAGTCCTCACCCTTGCCCCCCTTCCCCAATTCCAAATCCCCCATTTGCAATCCCTGCACCACCCCCCCCCCCCAACCCAACAGCAAAAAAAACCAACAACAACAACGGAAGGGAGGTGGGTGAAGGGAATGCTTATGTCACTTATCTGCAAAGTGCCCAGTAACCAGTAATATTTCCACAAAAGAAGCAAGAGCTGTAGAAATGAGAAAATCCACTTCAAAAATCTACTTTTCCACTTTTCCACTGTAATCTTATCTTCCTAAAGTTTTTGCCAGCCATTCTCTCATACCTTGATGCTTGATGTTAGACATTTCCCCTCAGGGCAGCTTGTTGTTGTGTGGAAAATGCCAGTGTTTGCAGCACTCTGTGGCAAGTCTTAATCACTGCAATCAGACTGAGATGTTTATCCAACCCTTAACCTTCATATATCCATATGGTGGCACATATCCATACTGGTGGTTCGTATGGTCCAGACAAAGTTTCACAGGTCAACCTGGGCAGGGCAGCATGATAACTTGCTGCTTATTTTGCTGTAAGCTGTTCCATCTGCATGCTATGGAAGAGTTTCCTCTTGGTTTTCTTGCACATTACCTCCTCTTGGCTTTGGACTTGACACAGAAATTTCCAGAGGTAAAGTTTTGGTCTGTAAGGTGCAGAATGTAACCACACTAAATATTTTTTTCTCCTCCTCATGCGAAGCCTGTTCATGCTCTACTTTTATTCATGGAGCTGTGACTTATATCAAGACCTGCTGGGGAAGGAGTACCCCCAGGCACCAGCCTCAGCTTTACATTATTGTTCAACTAGCACCTTTGTCTTCTCTTACAGTGTTTGCCAGAATCCTGAAGGCTCCTGAATCCCAAAACATCACCTTTGGGTCTGTGGTGACATTGCGGTGCACAGCGACCGGCCTTCCAGTCCCTACTGTCACCTGGCTGGAAAATGGGAAAGCTGTAAGTGCCTCTTTTTCATGCTTTTGGCACTGGAGGACTGCTATCAGCTGGGAGGGCTGGTAGTCAGCACCAGTGATTTCTATTCCTTCCTAACTTAGCACCTTGTTTTTCAAACTGGTTGAGTCCAGCTCATCTCTCTGCTGCAGTTTTCCTGGAAAAATATTGTCCCCCTTATCCACGGTGTTGTATTACTTAATTTGTTAGGATCTAAAAAGCCCAAGATGAAGGGTGCTTTAGACCTTTCCAACCATCCTCCAAGACAGACTTTCTAGGACTTCATTGTGTCTTTCTGCAGCTATCTTTCCTTTCCTTTTTTAATAATGTGGTAACAATAATGAGGCAAAATTGCATATCTGACAAATAGGTCAAATATGACATGGACTTAGATGGACCAAACTGTTTTGAGGTCAAATACCTGTGGAACCACATTATGCACAGGATATTTGAAGAAGATAATAGATCTGAAATTTTCTAGGCTGACCTAGGTGATGTGAAATATGCCATGAATTTATCCCTGGGCAGAAACATCCTCTTCAGAAAGGCACACCCTCTTCAGTGGCAGGCACCAAAGGATGCAAATCCACTGTGTCTCATAGGAAAGATTATGTGGTCTAATGATCCTGACCACTTAATATGGGTGCTTGTTTTCAATTTGCCTGGCTTTCATGCCTGTGTGTAGGCCGTTGTAATGCCTTCATTTCAGTGAGCTGAATATCTGCTTGATGCCTAATATTGCTCGTGTGGGAGTGAGCAGGGAACCAGTCATGGTAGCATTGCAGCCCAAGCCTGCCATAGCTTCCCTCTAGTCTTCATGCGCTTAAGATGAACATGTTTTATACTCTCTTTGGTCTTTTGACAGTTTTTTAAAGGTTGTGAGCTCCAGGGCATGATTCTGAGGAGCCAGGTGGAGTGTCTGCTGAGTACAGGCTGGCGATTTGCTTTTGCTCTTTCTAATGGACTTCCTGTCAGCCCTGAGTCCTTCTGAGCACAGGCTGATCCTGACCATTTCTGTGGACTTGCTGGTCCAGAGGACCAATAAATCCCCTTGGTTCTTACTTCAAGGGGCTATCACCATCCTGTTTTGTATCTCCTCTCTCTACGCATTAAAACACGTTATTAAGACCCCATGGCTACTCTGCAGGCTGTCTTGCCTTCCTTGCCTCCTCTATACCTTACTGTATCCTCCAGTCTGATTAGGGCTAATTTTCTATATTCCTTCAGTGTTGCTAGGCAGAGCAGCAAAGGGATCAGATCAGCCTCTGCTGGGACCCTGGGTTCTTGGTGGTTTCTGACAATATTTAGTTTGAGACAACTGCATGTCTTTATTTAAGACTTCTTCCCCACTGGCAATGCAACCTTTTGCAGAGGTCTGGGGTACCTGGAAAGAGCAATGTATTTTCATAGCACAGACCTGTACTCTTCTGAGATCCCAATAAGTGGGTCCTACAGAGAGCTGAGGTACATGAGATGATGGTCAGCCCCTGCCTGGGCCACTGTCTGACTGGTCATATCTGCTCTGCCCCATTGCTGTCTGAAAGGCATAGCCCAGTTCCAGGAGGGTAGTGTTCCTGATTGCCTCATGTTAAATATGGCAAGGAAACCTTAATGAGAGCCTGTCTCTGGGAGAGTCAGCAGGAAGCCAGTGGATGGGGCATGGTGAATTTGAGGGTTGGTTCACAGCAAGGGTGAGTCATTTGAAGATGCAGCATGCCTGTGGCATTATGGTTTCTGAACACCAACCTGTAATTGTCCCGAGGTTCAAAGAACAGGAGTCTGCTGAGCTTACTGAGCTTCCCTGGAAGAGGAGGATGGAAACTCCTCTGTGCAGCAGCTGCCTGGCCTACCTATTTAGAAACACAATACATTTTCCTCCTGCTATGCACCACAGGGCATCATGGACCTTATAATGTAGTTTTCCACATATCCAAGAATAAATGAGCCAGGTGTGAAGATATGAAGAAGTCTCTAATTTCCTGGTAGCTGAAGTGATGTTTTAAAGACTAAAAAGAGAACTCCTGGAAACAAAATCTCAGGAAATGTGGTTGAAAAGGAAAGGGAATCAATTAAAACAAGGGAACATCTTAAGTTTCCAGTAAAGGAAAAAACAGATGGCTAGTGTGGAAGTCCCAGGCACCACTGCCTGCGATTTTCCACTGTACATGGTGCATACTGCTTATACTGCTGGTGGTTACTTGAGGAACCTCTTCCTCCTGTGTCCCAAGCTGGAAGGAACAATCCCAGTTATCTGTGTGCTCAGCAGGCACAGTCCAGTGCTGCTAGATGTGGTACACCTGAGGCCTGAGGAGCCAGCAGGGAGAGAAGACTGGATTAGCACAAGCTTCTCATGGCAAGCAGCCACCTATCCCACCAAGATGCTGGAAGGCAGGGAGGGCTATAGGAAATACCTTCTTCCCACTGAGAAGGCCCCTGCACCATTTTAGTGCTGAGTGGTTTCTGGAGAGTAAAGGAGTCTAAAACTAAATTTGAGCAGCTCTGTAACAAAAGACATATCTGTGAAAAAATATCCCCTGGGCTCCCACCCTCTTGAACTGACTTCATGTTATAAGGCCAAATATATCCCTGGTCCCTTCATTTGCACAGTGGCTGACATACCTGGTGCAGTACAACCAGACTGTGTTGGTCTGATTATTTAGTGATTTCTTCCCATGAACATTCTTTCACCACAAGTCTAAGCTGACACTGAGAGAGGCAAAACAAATATATTCTTTTCATCATTTTCTTTTCATAGAGAATCCAATCTGCTTACAAGACATGGAACAGCAAGGAAAAACACTGATGAGTTCCTTGTTTTTTCAATTATTGCTATCAATACCCATGGGTATTTAATTTCACTGAAAGGTCTCATTGAAAGCACATTTTTACTGACCTCCAGGGAGGTCAGATTAATACTTCTGTCAGTTACATGTGTCGGTAGAGTGCTTTGCTGGGGCGAATCCAGGGAGAAAATCTCCAATGTCCTTACAGTCAGGTTACACCTAGGGGGTCCTCAGGCAACATACCTCACTTGAATTATGTTTGATGCTTCTTATCAGTATGAAGGTTAGAGCAGGCAATGCTCTCCTTCCTCCTGCCTTTGCAAGATAGAGTCTGTATGTGCCATGCTCTCCTACTTTGATGAATGCCATGTTGGCAGGAAAGATCTGATGGTAAGTCAAGGCCAACTAGCCAAAATCAGCAGGCTTCAAGGTCATTTGACTGCAAATTAGTGATCTGGGAAAAGAGCTGGCCAAAATCATCATATTTTCAGCCCCTTCCATATTTCTAGTTGCAAGATAAAAAAATCTATCAGGTATCTGCTCAAGTATTGTAGCCAGAGCACTTTCTATGCTCATGACTGCTTTGAGAGTATTGAAGTGATTATACTAATCCAGAATCAATGACTTGCAAACTATTTTCTTTTCTTCCTCTGTATAGCAGATGTTCACAAAGTCATCCTGTACAGTTCCTTCCTAAGGCATGAAGAGACAAACAATCTACTACAAGAAGCCATGTAGTAATTAGCCAGCTCAATTGCATAAACCAAATTGTGACTATGACCCTCTTGAACTGAAACCTAATTGCAAAAGTATTGCTGAAGTGTGAAATAGGAGAGATCTTTTAACATTTATTTCTGTGTGTGAAGTCGGCAGCTGTGAAAGTGCCAAAGTAACACCAGCAGCTTTAGGTCTCTGCCACTTTTGTCTCCTTACCACATCTTCCTCTGCCAATTTAAATGCCTGGGACTCCATCTCAGATTTTTCCTTGGTTTGCCTGTTTGTGTCTTGGTTGGAAATATTACTGAGCTGGGCTTTCACTCTTTCAGGTTTCTGTGGGGTCGATAGCAGAAAGCGTCAAGGACAGAGTGGTTGATTCCAGACTGCAAGTGTATGTCACCCGACCTGGCCTGTTCACTTGTCTTGCCACAAACAAGCACAGCAAAACTTTTGGAGCCGCAAAAGCAGCAGCAACCATCAGCATTTCAGGTATGCAGGGAAAGAAGAGGCCATTAATTTTTTAGCCTTTCCTGCTGGGGAAGAGGAAAGGGATGTGGAATACTGTGGTGGAAGAGGGGAAGCTTTGGAGAGCTGATAGTGTGTGGGGGCCTAAATTTGAGTACAAGTACATCCTCCACCAGGCTATTTCCTCATATACTCTTACACTTCGGAGACGGGCATAGCTGTCATTTCCTGAATGTTTGATGCTGTCTTGTACTTTGTGTCCCAGAAGCACACTTGGTAAGTTCATCCATATGGAGGAAGTTGTGGCCATGACCTAGCGCTGGTATCATCTAACAGCAAAGTGAAAATAGCTTCAAGCAGTTCAGCTTCACAAGGGGTTGGCATCCAGAAAGCAGGGTGGTTGCTGTCAGAGTAGTACCCTACCTTGCCTGAAGTTATCTCTTCCCTCAGAGATGTCTCCCAAATGTGAAAATTAATTTCCAAAGAGAAGAAATACCTCTGTCAGAGTTAACTAACAGCATTTGTCATACAGAGAGAAAGGTGGTAGCTTGTCCCATCCCTCTTTGGACAGGCAAGGGGATTTAGTTAGAGGAAAGAGGAATCAAACTGGACATGGGAAGGTAGCCCTGGTTCTGCTTTTAACCAGGCAGGTACTTGTTTATCTCTCAGTGCCTTAGCTTCTGGTTTCTTGATAAAATAATCATGCCCTTTCTTACACTGGGCATTGAAACCTACCAGTAATCTCTGCTCCATAATGTACTCAGCCCTTGGTGCTGAATTTCCCATCCCCACTTCTGCTTGTAGCCCAGGCAAGTGTGTGTCCTACAAATGCAGTGGGGCGGACAGGTACTTGGGGCTGGTGGAAGTTGTACTCCTCCAGGCTGTGTGTGCTCAGCAGGAGGAGAACTACCCCATAGACCTGAGCAGGAGTCTGCCTTGGCCTTGCCCCAGCTCATAAGGCTCCAAGGGCAGAGGTGCCCTGGCACTTGGCTGATGCCCAGTGCCTCCTCCCTGTGCTGGCACTGCCCAACTCCCTGTGGCATGGCAAGCCAGGGCCACTGCTGTGTGCCAGTGCTGCATCCCCAGCCCTGGCTTCTCCTGCTTGTTACAGCTGCTGCCTGAAGTAATGGATATCCATGTGGCTTAAACACAGGATGCTATCTGCTGGTTACATGGGACCCAAAGGACCAGGATAAAAGTGTGGGTTTATGGTGCAAGAGTCCACTTCAACTGGCACTGCCATCAACAATCCACTTCCTCCTCCTCCTTCTTTCTCACTTTACAGTGTTCAGTGTTGGTCAACTTTTCTTCCCCACAAGAAGATACAAACAAAAGAACAGAATTTAGGTGCATTTTTTTCATACAGCTTACAGTTGTCAGACACATTTCCTAGCATGGAAATCTTGACTTACGCATCTCAGAGGGAACGATGAAGTGTCACTGATGTCTTTTCCATTTCTTCTTTCTCCTGGTTCATCACAATTCCCGGATCTGGTGCCTCTTGGCAGAATGGAGGTAAGAATGACTTTCTGTGGCTTTGTGGAGGCCCTTTCTGGGCCAGGGAGAAGAAAAATGATGAGCCAAGGGGGTCTGGTTAATTTGGCTTAAATTAAGGGGTAGGGTTTTTTCATTCCAACTGTGCAGATGAGGTTCATCCATAGGGATCACTGATCTCCTTTACAAAGGCATAATTTGAGATGTAGTTAACAATGGTTTTGAGTCAAGGCAGTAGTAAGGGTGTTTGAAATATGGTAGTGGGAAGAATATTCTAAAGGAACTTCTATTTGGTTACAGATCCACAGTTTGCCTTGACCTTATAAATTTTCATGGCAAAGCTTAACTGCAAGGTAAACTCCTATCTGTTCACAGTTAATAAATGTAATTTGGTTTGGTGCTCACCAGATTAGGGCAGGAGAAGATTGTTTGTTCCAAGCAGAGTTATGGATGAATAAAGCTACTTACATGTGATGAGAAATGAACTTCTGCTTAGTAATTTTTGCAGGACTGAACAATTTAGCTGGTCTTTTCTCTTTAGAATCTTTTCATGTTACTACACACTGCACTGGCTGATCAGTCTGGAAGGAAAATGAGAATGTTAGCCTGGGAGATGGGCTGGGAGCTTCTGGCCACCATAGAAAAGAGCAGAGCGTGGGAAAGTCTGAGCAAATGGTTTTGCCACTCTGCTGACACAGACTCCCTGCAAAGGCTATTGTCTCCATCACAGGAGCTTGCAAGGTTGATTCAGGAAGTTTGTAAGTGATTAAGTGGCCACCCAATGGCAGACTTATGCATTTCACCTGCACCCATGCAGGTATGACAGGCATGGGGAAACAGACCAAGTGCTCAGCCCATCTGTCCCATAGGTGTTCTTAACATTTGCTGCATGATATTTCCTTTCTGTGACAAACCATTGTGAGAAACATGTTGTTGCTACTTCTCCATTGCGACTTGGTCTGTGTCTCCTTGCATATTTTAGAAAAGCAAGGAAACAACGTTAGCACTGTTAGCTCTTCTAAGTCTGCCTCTGCAGTCCCCTGAAGTCAGCAGCACAACAGCCCCATGCACACCTGTCCCTGCTTTTGCCTCTGGCCACAGGAAGGACGCAACTTTCAAATTAAGCACAATGGGAATCATCAGGGAAATGCAAATAACATGACCCCTGCCATGCCAAGAGCAGTTCCAGCAGGGTGCTGGGATTGGAGCATTGCTTTGGGGAAACCTGCTGTGTGCAGGAAGATGTCATGGGCTGTGAGACTAGTGCAGCATGCTGGGAGACTCCTGTGTCACATGAAAGTGTGTCCATGGAGCCTGGGATGTGCAGTGTCAGAGCATCACTGCCATTTTGGTAAACCTCAAGGGGTTGGTGCCTTCTTGTATTTTTTTATCCAATGTGACACAGAAAAAAAAATTAAAGAAAAAATTCACATGGAGCCCAAAATAGAGCAGCTAAAACAGGGCCAGGGATTGTCATCTGCAGAAAACAGCATCTGAAGAACAGAAATGTGAGAATCCTCTGTAATCCTTTGTCCATGTACCTCCAGCTTTCTGAAAAAAAAAAAAAATCAGAAAAATCAGCAAGAAACCCCAGAGTTAACAATGGGTGATTATTTGGACAGAGGAAAGAAATAAAAGGCAAAGATACAAATAGCTCTGTTGACTGCTCCAAATGGTTGGCATGTTGTGAATTGAACTCTCTGACCCCAGTTACACTGACCGAATGGCAGTGGGGACAGCTGCACCCAGGCCTCCTCTCTGCCCTGATTTGGCCATGCCCCACACACAGGGAGTCTGTTTTCACAGCTTTGCCTCCCATTCCCAGGACTCTGCATCCCATGGGCTGCCTGGGCAGAGGGCACCTCCTCACCTGCAGTCCTTGCTGCTGGTGGGTGACTGTGGGAGCTACTGGAAGCCCGGCTGGCCTGTGCACTGCCCTTACCCTGCTGCTTACTTTTGATGGCCATGGGGAGGAAGGCAGGAAGGGAGGGGGGAGAGATCTCCTTCCAGATACAAATAACATGGGAAAGATAAGTAAATGGCCCTCAAAGAAGATGACCCTACTGTGATTTTACTGCTCCTGCATAGCTCTGTCTCCATGCTATGTGTCAGGACTTTGCAAAATGGGAGATGTGGTGAAAAGATGCACCTTGCAGAAAAACACCGGGAAGGAAAACACAAAGACTTGTGCCTTCCTCATGTCTCAGTGCCCCAGCTAAAGGTGTGGAAGAAGGACAGGTCAGGAGTGGTGCAGGAGCTGTGGAAGGGCAGGTGGGAGCTTGGTCTGACCGTGTGTAAAACTCCCTGGTACATGATGGGTTGAACTTACCTGGCTCCTGCTCATCAAGTCTATCTTACATTAAACTCTAACTCTTGTTAGACAGCAGAGTGAAAAATCCTGAGTTATCACAGAACTGCAAGCAATGCAAGCAAGCAGCTTGGCTGATCCCTACTGCAGGGAAGCAGGAAAGTAAAATACTTTCCCATTAGAGCCCAGGGGCAGGGTGAGGGGCCATACTAGGTCATGGTTCTCTGTGATTGCTCAGGCTTCAGTCCACTTGTAACTTTAACAACACTTGGTCAGAGCCTCCTCCCTGGAGCTCACCTGGGCTGGTACCAGGGTAACCTGCAGAATTTTCATTCTTGTTTTATATTAGCTGGTTTTAGTGGTATAAACATCTACCATGTCCTCTGCCCTCTGTTAGCCTTACACATGCCACTTTACTCAGAAACAGGGCCATTGTGCTCATGCAGCTGTTTAGGTCTGTGAGCTTACTGTGTTTGTGTGTGTGTGCTCTTGTTCTCGACAGCAAGCTGTACAAGGGTGACGCAGGCTACTGCAGCACATACAGAGGTGAGGTGTGTAGTGCTATCTTGGCGAAGAATGCTCTTGTTTTCTTCAACTCCTCGTATGCTGACCCAGAGGAGACCCAAGAGCTGCTTGTGCACACTGCCTGGACTGAACTGAAAATGGTGAGTTCATTCTGCCAACCGGCTGCTGAGTCTCTGCTGTGTAACTACATCTTCCAGGAGTGCAATCCCTCGGGAGCTGGGCCAGCTCCAAAACCAGTGTGCAGGTAAATGAAGAAAAACATGCTCATATTTCACTTTCATTTCATGGGGATATGTACGCAGCAGGGGAGTGGTGAGGGACTTTCCAGGCTTGCTTTCAGCAGCAAGTGAAGCAGAGTGAAGCTGGGCCCTCTAGGTTTGCACAGGTTTTCCCTTTGCTCTCTCCTCTGTACACACAGACTGATTCAGCTCTCGCTGTGCTCATTGCTAGGGTGTGGTCTGAATTTAAAGTCCAGACCTCTACATTACATCAGGTGTTTGGAGGATTGTGTTGAAAAGAAGTATCAATTTGAATTACATAAGTAGTTTCAATAATTCATATTGTTTTCTGTTATTGTTATCTTACTAGGCCAGTATCTATATTTTTTATTACTATAAAGAGTAATTGCTTCTTTGAAATTTTGACTAAATGCAGCTCCAGAAGATGCAACAAATCTGGCTGAGGCAATATACCAATCATTTAGCACTTCCTACTATGACAAAAATGTGACAAAAATGATGAGACCAGAGACATTGCCTGTGTAGTTGTACCTGATAAACCAAAACTACAATGTGGTTATTGTATCCTTCTGTATGCAGAGAAATGTGCATTGAAATTGGGTTGACAGGGAACCTGAGGAGTCCAAAGCATCTCTTACTATAGCTAATCTACTGTTGACAGGTATTTGTAAACACATCCCAGTGACAGACGCTACTCTCTCCTTACACAACCCCCTGAGCAGCCCTTCCCTCGTTGTTCCTTGTCCTCCCACCATGGTCATGGAGGCGAGTTTTTTCTTTCCTCTTTGCAGTGAAATTTTACATCCTTCCCAAATTCTCTGACTAGATTAAAACAGGTTTTCCTGAGCCCTGCACACAGCTTTTGTTCTTCTGCCCAGTCCAGGTTTGGTTATTTTTAACTGCAACAGAATTATGATTGCCTGCTGTGCTTTGCAGAGGACAGCCCCACACACACATATATCAGGGTGAAGCTTTCTTTTTCCTGTCATGTTCAGCCCCTAAAAGACTGGTCATTACCCATATTACATTTGGGCAGCTGACATCCCTACCTAAAGCGCACTGCTTTGTTCTTGTCTGCCTTGAAACACATATTAAAATACTATTCAGATCTGCATTTACTGGAAGAGTAGCCCCAGCTCTAGTGTCCCAAATAAAATACAAACCTTTTCTACAGACATGACAAGCACACTGCTGGATGGACTTGTGCCTGATGTCTAATGGCAATAATTTCTCCAGTTATGTAGGGGCTTTTTAAGACAATCAGCAACATGTTGGTTTTGTAATTGGGACCTTTTTTGTTGCTTCTCCTTTAACACCTCTAAAACAAAGGCACAGAGGAAAATCCCACTGTGAATATTGACCATACATTTATCTTTCTACTTGGTACCTATGCTGTCTTGTATTCTACCATTGACACAGAGGTGGCATATATCCTACGAAACAATATTATGTGCAGCTATCCAAAGATAATCATGCAGCCAAGAACTACCATTTGCTTTTTGCTGGCAGGCTCCTCCCTGCCACCTCAACATTCTGCTCTTTGTCATTGTGCCCTTAAATACACAATCACTCTGCCTTTTTTCAAGATCTGTGACAGTATTTATATCTCAGCCACACATGCACAGCACATTAGTCAGCTAAGGGTTTTGCATATTTCTCTGCAAGGTATTTCAGTTAGATCTTGGCCTTGCTTCATTTACCCCTGCCCACGAATGGCCCTGCAAGACCAGAACTCACAGTGATTTGACTGAAGACCTGTACTTCTGGGGCACTTCTAAAGTCAGAATTATATAAACTAACATAAATATTCACTTGATCTTGATGCACCTGAGCTAACAGTTACAACATCTGCAAATATATCAAAATGTTAATGGGCTTGCCTGGAACCATTTTTCTTCAAATTAATGAGTCAATGTTGGTTTTTATTAATTATTCCTCCCTCCTTCGACCCTAATTTTAATGCAGCTTTCTTTATAAGAAAAGTTCTAGAATAGCATCCTTCCTGATTCCTGTCCTCAGAGAGCGTCAGCTGGACAGCAGTTCTTCCAGAGCCCAATACTCCTTTTGATAACTCAGACATCTAATAGACTTCTTTATGGCTGAGAGAGGCCTAGGGGCTCTTGAACACATCTCACATGCTCTTGGTTACTTTCCAATTCTCTTAACTTCTTTTTACTTATAGCTTTATAGCTATAAACTTTATAGCTTTCTGCAGAAGCTGGCTAGACTACACAAGTTTTCAGCTGAAATACTTCATGAGTAAGAATTTAACTCTCTCCAATGTGGGAGAGCTCTCCCAGTTTTTCAGGGACATACTGCCCTCAATATATGTCCATGTATTTGTATCTTATTATTTATTTTCTGCACCAATTTTTCTCTTTCCATGTTGTCTTTTAATGTTCATTTGGTTTGGAAGCTAGCTAGCAAGAATAACAACTGACAGGCTGAGTAAAACTTTTCTAAAGTAATCGGGGGGTAAAATAAGATGAAATGAAACACAAGAAAACCACATGGGAGAAGTTCACTCAATGTAAATTTAGATGCAAATTGATTAAAATGAGAGCTTTTAAGGGAAAGTGATGTCTCATCTCATAATTCTTGATTACATCTGCCTCTTGTTGCTGGCTGCTATTGCAATAGCAGAACAACCCTCAGTTTCTGTTTCAATCACTGCTGATAGGAAGTGATCAGGCTGTAGGGAACAGTCTTGTGTTGGGGAAGGTTTTTCCTTTTTTGGGTCTGTGTGTCCCCACCTCCCCTTACATAGTCTCTTGTGGTCCCTAGAAACACTACTGGCACACTTCCTCTCTTCTGCCATTACTGCTCTTTGTCCATCTGTCATTTACATGACATAACATTTCTAATAATAACCTGAAGTAATCCTTGCCTGTGACCTCAGCAAACCCTCTGTGCGCAGCATTGGGTGCTACAACAGTGGTATGAACCCAGCTAGGAGTGACTGACCACCCTCCCTCTGGCTGTGTTACCATTCTTCCAGGGTGCAGATAACCTTCCTTTAACCCTGGAGCAGACAGCACTGCAAAAGAATGGTCTTCTGCGTTTTGCAATTGAACACTGAATAAAGGGCTTATTTAACGGTGCTTGGGATCCAGGAATGAACAGAGCTAATCCAATCCAGATGTCCCAGGTCTCAGCTAGTGCTTCAAATGCAAGTTTTTTCTCATTTCCCTATCTAAGTATTTCTTTACTTCACAAGGTCACTCCTGTTCCACATGTTGTTTAACATAAAAAAGATAAATTTGCCATCTGGCTGCATTCTGGCTTCCATGGAAGGGAGGAAGGAATAAACCAGGACTGGCTAAAACCAAGCACAGAGTATCTGGGCATTGATGACTTCAGCCTGCTGAATTGAGGGCCATCCATTACTGTTGCAGAAAAGCTGTTTCTCTAGTAGAATTCTCAATGACCTCCATCCTTCAGGCGCTTTAGAGGGTTTGCAGTGTTGTTAGCCATTGCTGACACTCATGACCATCTGCTCTTGCCAAAACTGTTGTATAATTAAAGAGGTTGCATCAACCCACCAGGTGGTGAATTTGGCTAAATCCTTCCCCACACACCCCAGAAGTACATTTCGCATTCTGCATCATTGTGTGATGAGTTGTGGATCTGGGAAAGAATCCAGCTGAGCTGTGCAAAAGAAATCTCTGCACATGACCTCAAAGTTGATTTGGTAGCTCAGGCTCTCAAGAATAAATAAGCAAATCACCGATAAATTGACTGATATAACAAATCCACAAACTTCCCAGAATGGTGTGTTTTCTTTTTTTTCTTTTCCTTTTTTTTCTAGTGCAGTTGCCCTTCTCCACAAACAATTTCTCATATAAGGCCCATTTAAAAATCCAACGCACTTCTTGTCAGTGAATATTTCACATTGTTATGGAGGCCACACATGATGTGGGAGACAGGTCACTTTTTTACCAGGCAATCTGCAGATATCTACAGAGAAAAAAATGGATTTAAAGTTGCCTGTAGAGACAATTAAAAAATTCTGGTTTTTTATTCAGTGAGATTAAAAGTATATGCAAATATTTAACATAAGAAGGTTAAGAATTGCAGCTCACCTTTTGCTTTTAGTAGATGACAGAAACCAAGTGAGATTTTAGGATATATTAAAAAATTCTAACTCTAGAAATGAGAGGGAGACTATTTACAAGAGCATGTAGTGACAGGACAGGGGGGAATGCCTTCAAACTGAAAGAGGTTTAGATTAAATAATAGGAAGAAATTATTTACTGTGGGGATAGTGAGAGACTGGCACAGGCGGCCCAGGGAAGCTGTGTATGCCTCATCCCTGGAAGTGTCCACGGCCAGGTTGGATGGGGCTTTGAGCTACCTGGTCCAGTGGAAGCTGCCCCTGTCCATGGGGCAGCAGGAAATTGGAAATAGATGACTTTGATGTCTCTTCCAACACAAACCATTCTATGATTCTATGATGTTTATTAGAAGAACATGTGAAAAAAATCTGTAGAAAAAGATTGGAATGAACTCCTCATAGCTTGGTGTGTGTTGTGCTTTAAGCATAACCCTGCTTCATTAAAAATGTAGGTTTGTATGTTTCTTAAAGGAAGCTGTTGCATTTCATACAGTTTCTTTGATGGTTTATGAGCCAGACACACTGGCTTTAAAGAAGTGTCACCCCATTAATGGATTTCTGTCAGCTTGATAACCCCTGCACTTCACCGCTAAGTGCAGCCTTTTTTTTTTTCAAGCCATTGACAGCTGTATTTCACTGTTTTTTGCAAAACAATGTAGAGAGAATTGCCTTGCTGTAAAGGATCTCTACTGCTTTAAGGAATGGCTATCAATGGAGGAGAACTCTCAGAAGGGGATTTACAAGCCGGGGCTGATGCTGCTCACTCTTCCTGAATGCAACAGGTTGCCCAGCCTGCACCAGAATCCCAGCTCCTGTACCCACATCCCTTTCTTTGGTAAGATGGCACATGTTGCTGATTGTCCAGAGAGCTGTGTTCTTGGTAAGGGAAAGGGGAAGGGTACGATCCATAATTTACAGCTAAAGTAAAAGCTGATGGTGGGTACTGTCCTGTCAGCACCTTGTGTGCATGGAATTGTGACAGCTGCTTTAGCTGTTTGCCTCTCTTGTACAACCAGGATATGGGAAAAATCCCTCAAGTAAATAAAGCCTGGATCTTTATTGGGAAGATCCTAACAATCCTGAAAAACAGTCTTAATGATAGCAAAGTTGCCACTCAGATGCCTTTGCAAAGAAATAAGCTGTTTAAGCACTGCTAGGGAGGGAACCTTTTCCTGTAGCATGCTTCTAAGTGAGCATCTGGTCATATTGCATCCTGGACTATCCCTCCTTACATCTTGTCTTCTCTTTTTACAGATTTTAAGAAGGAGAACATAACCAGTAAGTAGACTGCTCCAGACCCTATGTTTTTAGAGACATGATATTCTTTATTGAAGCTGCCATTTGCACATGTTTTTGTGTTTTCTGCTGGTCCTGGCTGGCTGAATTTAGATTGTTACTGAGGAATATCTGGGTTTCCATGTCCGAGGCATGGGGAAACACAGTTCCAGCTTTTTGGAGGTTGGGGAGACCATGGGCTGGTAACTTTTTATGAGATAGGCATGCAGGTTTTAGATGGTACCCTTCCCTCCATCTGTTTCCTTTTCTATCTACCCATTGCCTATCATTCCCCTCTACCCTTATTTGGATTTCTGATTCTGAGGTCGTTCCAGCCTTGTATGTTAACAACATGGTTACCTATGACAGGCTGGCCTTGCAAGACCTTAAGCTCCCAGATCTCTTATCAAATCACCTCAGAAGTCTGGCTGTTTCTTGTATGAGCCTCCCATGACCAGTGGTGAGACCCAGACATGTCCTGCAGTGCTGCTTTGACTTCTGTCAGGCTCCCCCCTGCTGCTGGTTGTGGCTGAAGCATGCACACCCAACTCTTGCACTCGTGTGCAATTGCAGTTTCAAGCTCAGCCACTGAACTTGCCTCACTGGAAAAAGGAATCTCTCTCTTGCCATGCATCTAAGCAGGTGAGGTTTGCCGATTTTGCAGTGGCTCAACCTTATGTATGGAGAGAGAGGCAAAGTGGAAAAAAAAAAAAGGAAATAAAGAATATTGGGGAATATTCTTTCATGGAAGGATCTTGGCTTCACCTGACAACCCGAGACCTAGGGGCTTGGTGATGCAGACATGGAGACAAGGGCTTCAGAACCCTCTGGGCCAATGCCTATGGCCTGCAAGGGCAGCCATCCCTGCCCTGGTGGAGGAACCACATGAGAGAGGTGTCAGCATATGAGAGGAGCATTTGTGGGATAGCTTCAGTCTCCCCACAGTTGTTTCAGGACACATCCTCTGTCTCCTGTGTATTGTGTATGCATGAACTTTTCTGTTCATCTTCCACAGCATTTTCTCAGAGTGGCATTGCATAAATGTACGCTATTCAGTCATGAACCAGGAAGATATAATAGTAATATTTTAGTAATATTCACCCCTCTTTTTTCTTTAGACCCACTGCTATGTGCACAGGGGTTCGTTGAGCATGAACTGAACTGTTTTCTAGCTTGTTATCAAATTATTCATTAATGTCTAGGTGGACCAGCTATATTATTCCTCTGTCCTCATTGTAGGAAGACAGTCTATGAAAACATCTGCATTTTCAGAGTATGAAAGATTCAGAGGCTCTTACTTGCTCCTGCCCCTAAAGGTCTCCACATTAATCTTTTAAGGTGTCCCACTAACATTTATTTCAAATCTGTGCAGAAATCTTTTCCTTGTTTATTACTAGCTGTGTCATGAGGTATGTTTCAGGCACTGCTTTCCTTGTCTTTGAATGTGAAACAAGTAAAATTCTCATCTCAGGTACACAAGTATGTTCCAGGACAGTTTAACACCTCTGATTAGGATGTTACACCTCTGCAGAGCTACAGGTGCTGGTCATGTGGGGCTGCTATCTTATTGCAGATGTGAGTCATAAATGGTATTTATGTATCAGCCAAAGAAATCCACCTTAGAGTATTTTACTTTGCATTTGTCATGGGTTTAAATATTCCCATAAAGTCCATGATCATTCCTCTACTGAAGTGTTTAGATGCCTCAGGGCTACATGAACTCAATCCTTTGTTTAAGCTCATTGGACTGGAGTTAACACTTTAAAGACAGTGTGCCTACCTACAGGTGTATAGTGTCTGCTACCTGCTGAAGACTCAGTAAGCTAAGAGTGTATCAGGATATATAACTGCAACCTGAGTGCAAGAAGAAAACAGCAGATAGTCATGATGATGTGTTGGTTATGGTCCTTGTACATGAGAAAGAGTACAATCCACAAAGACAGATACCCTTGTGTCAAATTTGGGTCAACCCTTACACAAAGCTTTCAAGAAGATGAAAAGTACTTGCTTAAAAAAGTAATTATTTTAGAACATATCATGTTTCTTCTTGTTCTTCTTTATTCCTGAGCTGCAAGATTATGAACATAATAGAAAATAAAATTATGACAAAAGAATGTCCTGGTTTGTTAACTTTTCAAGGCTAACAATGCAATGGACCTTAATATATGCCATGTATTACAATGTTAGCTGCAGCTCAGCTGAGTTTAGAGATTAGGTACTATGTATTGAAATCTGTAAGGCTGCATCTCCTCTGCTGTCTTTCTGCTTCCTAGATTATGCCAGCATACATTCTCCTATGGGGACAGGTGTATGTGAGGACATATGTCCTGTGAGGACATTAATGCATATTCCTGCAGTAAAATCTCAAGATTTTCTGCCTAATTTTTCTGCAGCTGGAATAAGCCCTGTATATGCAGTGACTACACTATCTTCATTATAAAGAACATTATTTTATACTGATACCATTCCTTAAATCATAGTTCAGATCATATTTCAGGGTATCGTCTCCATGCATGCTGAAAATCATAGGCTGTTTCCAAATAATCAAAGAGGATAAGCACTGTAGAGAAGCAGGAGGAAGGCACCCTTATGAATCCCAGCTCCCTGCTACCAACCTGAGGAATATGAGTGTCTTCCTATCAGTGCCCCGCTAAGAATGCAGGCTCTGAATCATGGAACCAGTGCTGTGATTTGCTTTCTGCCTTGGTTTGGCTAGAGTGGATTCAGCGTGGTTCTGCCCTGCACTTTCTGCATGATGTACTATGAACTATGTAGTTGCAGCTCAACCATCACAGACACATGGCCTATTTTCTCATTCTGAGAGAGTGAGTGCCCTCTTTGAAGTTTTACCAGATTTCTGCCTATGTATTGAGTGCAAAATCCATTAGAGAGTAAACAGGAGGCTAAGCAGGGCCCTTTCTGTGTTGTCTAGTCCTTCTGTGTGCTTCACAGAAGATGCTGTCAGATGGCCTCATGTAACAACATGAACTTTATTCTTGTGAGTCTCTGCTGCAGGACATGTTCTGAAATGCCTTGACCCTACAGGTTTTTTTCTCTTCCAGGAACTTGCTACAGTGGCAATGGTCAGTTTTACCAGGGCACAGCCAATGTCACAGCATCTGGCATTCCCTGCCAGAAGTGGAGTGATCAGGTGAGTTCAGTGTGAGATGCACCAAATGGAGAGTTGTGCAAGAGGTTTGCTTTTCCAAGGAGTTTCTCAGAGTCAGGCAGCCCAGTTTCAGTGAAAGGGATGAGCAGGGAACAAGTTGCCTTCATTCTTGAGCTCATTTTATAATCTTATCATATTTCAATCTGCAAGTTTTCCTTACTGTGTCAAGATGTGTTCTCTGTCATTTCAGGCGACCAAAAGGCTGTTTCACCAAGGGCTCTGTCTTGCTTCCCTCCTTTGGGTTTTCTTTTAATTTTGTTTAAATAATAATAGCATGGAAAATTATGCTGAAACACTAATACAATTTGCTTCCTTCCCCAAGGCTCCCCATTTGCACAGGAGGACTCCTCAGGTTTTCCCAGAGCTGTTGGATGCTGAGAATTACTGCCGCAATCCAGGAGGTGAGAATGAGCGTCCCTGGTGCTACACAAAGGATCCAGCTGTGACCTGGGAATACTGCAGCGTGTCTCCCTGTGGAGATGGTAGGCAACTGCACTTTATGATTTCTGCCACTGTGGCTGTTTCGTGGCCATGCAAGCTGTACTATCCTAGGTACACCAATCTGTTCTGTCCTCTGGATTCAGCTAGTTCTGGGTCTTCTCACAGATTCATTCAGCATCTTAATTGAGAAGCTTTAAAGTGCCCCATGAAGAGGGGAAAATGAAGACAGATGAATCAAGCATCTTGCCCTAGGTTACATAAATGCTAAAGATGAAGTGAAATGTCCTGTGGTATTCTGAAAAATTGATTTGTCACACTGTTTAGAAGGTAGGGCTTCAGGTTGTTTTCCAAAGTTGTTTAGTTTAGGGTGATTTCTTTTCAACAATACTGCCCAGCCCCCACCCCCTCACCCCCCCCAGTTCCCCAGTTTAAGCTAAAAATAAGCCATAAAAAGATGAAAGCATCTTTGGGTTTTGATGTAGAAGCTAAGTATTCCTGTAATTTCTTGTTCAAAACCAGAAAAAATTTTGAAAAATATTTCATCCAAGATTTCCAGTTTCTGGATTTCAGTGCTCAGAAATAAGACGCATTTGGAAACTTACTGCACAGGGAACAGAGGTTCTATGGACATAAGTGAACACAAGTAATTTTCAATTTCTTTCAACTTTCTTTCACAAGTAAATTTCAATTTCACAACTAAGAAGAAGGGTTTAAATTTCTTTCTGTTCTCAAACACTGCATGCAGAGAACAGCATTTTCTAGAATATCTCAGAAAGTACTTCACAGGTAGTTATGTGATTTTTTCCCTAATAATTCAGCCAAGTGTGCTTTAAACTAGTTTTCCACATTTTCCCCATAAAGACACTGAGATGCAAACTGTTGGGGGTAAGAGGATATTTCAGGAAAGTATCACTCTGTACTTGCTTGGTCTTACAGTCCTCCCTGCAGATTCCTTTTAGGACACATGATACATTGTGGTTTACATTGTGCACCATTGATCTTTCCCACTGCAGATATTGCTATATTTGAATACTGTTGAGACTGTCAGATGTGACCTCCCATTTGTAACTCTTGCAAATATTCTATACCAAAACTGTGTTCCCAGCTTAATGGGCACTATATATTGGTCGTACCAGATTTTGCATTTTCACATGTGGCAAAACAAATGGGTTTTGCTTCCTGCAAACCAAGCTTCCCTAGTATGGTCCTCTCATGTGGTCATAGGGCTGTATGTAATGTTAGTAATTTCCAGGGTGACAAGTTAGCTTCGTAAATTCCTCTAAGAGAAAGCTCTATAAACTAGCAGAGGCATAACCCTCTGATTTTATTTGCATTACAGCATTGTTATCACTGGGAACAAGAAAACCAAGTGGAGAGACTCTAAATCTTCCTCCTCCTCCTCCATTTTCCCCTACATACTCCATGACTGTTATCATCTCGATCATCTCCAGCTTTGCCCTGGTCGTGATCTTTGGCATTATCACCCTGGTTTGCTGCCGTCGTCGAAAACAGTGGAAAAACAAAAAAAGGTAAAGCTTGGAACTTAATTCAGTGCAAGAAATGCTGCTTTGGAAAAAGAGCTTTCTTGTTTCTGAGAGAAAAGTCCTGTGAACACCTGTGAGGGGACAGCAGCCCTCCCTCTGCTTGTGCCAACCCAGTGTTAGCTCTGTTGAATTCCACCTTCTGTGCCAGAGCAGAACGTGGTGACTAGGGACATGGACACCTTGCTGCAAGGTTCCTTCAGTAGCCCTGCTGCACCTTCCTTTTTCATCCTGAAATAAATAAGTTCAGGAGGAGATGAAGCTAGTTATCTCCTGATTGAGAGCTGTGCACACACTGACCAAAAATCTCTCCATTGTTTCAGAGAGTCGGAGACACCAACTCTCACCACTCTGCCCTCCGAACTGCTCCTGGACCGGTTGCACCCCAACCCCATGTACCAGCGCATGCCTCTTCTCCTCAATCCAAAATTGCTTAGCTTGGAGTATCCCAGGAACAATATTGAATATGTGAGAGATATTGGGGAGGGAGCATTTGGGAGAGTCTTCCAGGCCAGGTAAGCAGTCTCTTTGTGAGTCTTCTTTATCTGAAGGTACTTGAAAAAATCAGCATGGAAATCATCCATCCATCCATCCATCCATCCATCCATCCATCCATCCATCCATCCATCCACTCAAATGCATGTGTACCAAATGGTACACAACACTCAGGTTTGAAGAATTGTTTTTGTTGTCCACTCCTATCTGTCAATATTTGTTAAACTTTTGCCACAATTTACTCTCTTCTACTTTCTAGTAGATGTAATGCCTTACTGACATTATCTGGTGTAAAAGTTCAGCTAAATTTTGCCAAGAGTACTGCCTGTAACATGTGACCTATTGTGAAGTTCTTGCATTTCCCAGTATTTATGAATTCTCAGTGTGTGGTGATCTCCATTATAACACCAGTACTGACCTGTGTAATTAGCACAAAAGTCTTTGCATCATGCTACAGTTCAGTCCAAACTGAATTGCAATTTGATTCTGTGGCAAAACCAAACCAAACCAAAAATCCCCTAAAAACCCTCCCTACATAGGCCAGTGGGGGGATGGGCATATGGTTGTGTGTCTGTGGTGTCCCAACCTTAATGGAAAATGCACACCCAAGATTTGCAGATGCTTGTGGGTGAAAGGAATGGCAAAAGCCAGAGTATCTGCAAAAGTGTACAAATTTTTATTAGTAAATTACACGCCTTCCATGGAAATAGCTCTTTTATTGTCCCTGACCTCCTATATAAGCACAGGGCAGTGGGTTTTGAAGAAAGGGGTAGTGTGAAAAGGAAGGGAGACAAAAAGATGGATTAAAGATGAAAGGGAGACGAAAGAAAGAAAGAAAGAAAGAAAGAAAGAAAGAAAGAAAGAAAGAAAGAAAGAAAGAAAGAAAGAAAGAAAGAAAGAAAGAAAGAAAGAAAGAAAGAAAGAAAGAAAGAAAGAAAGAAAGAAAGAAAGAAAGAAAGAAAGAAAGAAAGAAAGAAAGAAAGAAAGAAAGAAAGAAAGAAAGAAAGAAAGAAAGAAAGAAAGAAAGAAAGAAAGAAAGAAAGAAAGAAAGAAAGAAAAAGAAAGAAAGAAAGAAAAAAAAGAAGGAAGGAAGTGGCGGAAGTGGTGGCAGTGGCAGAAGTGGTGGAAGGAAGTGGTGGAAGGAAGTGGTGGAAGTGGCGGAAGTGGCGGAAGTGGCGGAAGTGGTGGAAGGAAAGAAAAAAGGAAAAAAGGAAAAAAGGAAAAAAAAAAGGAAAAAAGGAAAAAAGGAAAAAAGGAAAAAAGGAAAAAAGGAAAAAAGGAAAAAAGGAAAAAAGGAAAAAAGGAAAAAAGATCAGTGGTCCTGGCTCCACCATCAACTCACCTGACAGAAAGCTTATGATCCTGGGGCACATATGTGTCTAGGCTTTGTGAGGGTACCTTTTTATAGTAAAATTTATGTGCCCTGGAGCTAATTTCCTCACTTTCTATACAAAGTGGGTTATTATGGGCAGCCCCTCCTTCCAGACCTTCCTGGAAAATGATTTAGGGGCTTTAGGGTCTTGGGTGCTCTTGATCCCCCCTTGCAGTCCATTCCACCTACTTCTCAGCCTCATTCCTGCACCTCTGATGGTGGTGTTGTGCTTATCTCCAGGAGCCAGAACAAGGACACTTGTCTCAGAAAAATTTTGCCCTACCTCTGTATGGCCCCTTTCTCCTGCCATAACAATCCTTGGTTGGTTCAATGGCTATCTGGATATCAGTGTTTGAGTAACACATATAAATTCCTTTATCTCTAGACTTCTTCAGTGTCCCCTTTAGTTAGTTTCTCACTTTTTATTTTTGGAATTTGCAGCCACTGTTACTTGTTTTAAACCTAAGTTATTAGATGACAGCCCAGTTCTGATAATACCATAGGAAGTGAGGTTGTGCACTTTTACAAATGTGAAAAATCTTTAACCTGACAACCCCAAAAATGAGGAGGATGGAAGATATCTAGTTTTTCTTGACAGAATCCATAATTTCTGCAAGACAATCTGGACAATAATAGTTTCCTCCTAAAGTCCCATCCCCAAATTCCTAGAAGAAAGTGTACAGGCTGTATAGTTCCCTGCTTAGTCATGGCAGTAATCTTTGTCCTTTGCAGTTAACAAGCATGGGGCATGGCTGATTTTGTAGCTGTATCTAGAGTAGTGTATGATGACCTCAACAAAAACCCAAGGAAGGATCAGAGTCCCACCATGAGCCAAGATCTGCTTGGTGAAATGCTTCTGTTGACTGCCAAAGCAAAGGGCTATCCTTGCAAAAAGTAGTCATAATGCCGGTATTTGTAATGTTTATAGTTAAGCTATATGATGTACCTGCTAGAAAATTAGTTCTGTACAGGTTAGACATGTTACAGCTGGGAAACAGTTTCAACAGCTATGATGGATTTTTTTTTTTTCCTAATGAAGAGATAAATTATTTCTAATGGAAGAAAAGCAAGCATACTTTTCTTTACTACAGAGAAAATGAAAAATAACAAAATTCAAAGGGTGCACAGTGGGATTGCCACAGATGCTTAGCCTGTGATGAACTGTTATCTTGGATGGCCAAACACATCTGAGCTTGAAGCAAGAACACAGCTGCAGAAGCTGCACAACAGCTGTGCTTGGGGCACTGCACACCAGGGGCACAGGGCAGCTCTTGTCCCAGACTCAGCGCAGTGCTCAGGGTGCCCTGAGGTGCATCACCTTCCTGCTCATGCTGCAGGAGTCTTCACCTGTGTGCCAGCAGGGCAGGAACTCTACTTCCCAAGTGCTGCTTTGGCCCTGCTCTGGAAGGTCTAATACAATTTGAGTGCTGCACAGACCTTTCTGAGCTCGAAATGACTTTCATGGATATCAAGAAAGACTTCTCAAAGGGCATTCAAATATCACTAAAGTGCTAGTTAAGCAAGTGCCAAAGTGGTGTAAAGACCTTTTATGTGGATTTCATACACTTCAGCACTGCAATTTCTTTCAATTAAGCCTTTTTGTTATTGTCAATGGAAACTGAGAGAAAAAGACACAGGAGAAGAAAAGAAAGTGTTACATCTCATCTAGCATTTGCAAAGTGAGAAGCATCTTGAGAGATGCTTGCTCTCTCTGGGTCAGGGAGGGAGCTACAGAAATATTGCTTCTTAGGGACCTCCTTTGTTTATTACCACCTCTATAAAAAATGCCTCCAAGGCTTTATAATTCCTTATAATAAGGTATAGACATTTTTGTGCACTTCTGGCAGATCAGTGCAGTCCTAGTATAAGCTGTGTGTTCATCCAGGTTACTGAAATGATCAAAACTCAAATTATTGCCTTCCCATCTCAGAAGGATAAAATGTACTCTCCTGCATGTGTTAAATGGACATCTCGAGCTAAGTTTAGCAATCCTCTTACTTCTCCTGCTCTCATGTTTCTCGCTCTTCTGTAAACACAGCTCTGCACTCAGTGCCAGCGATGCCTTTGCCAGTTGGCTGCTGTGAGTCCTGATTCAGTGTTTACTCACTCCTGGGTCAAGCAACATGTTAGGACAGGAAGTGTCTAGCTATCATTTACTAGCTTCTCCTGAAAGGCTACTGTCTTCACCAGGAACAGCTTCACACTTGGAAGGATAAGGAAGTAACCATGCTTAAAACAAAATTCAGGACCAGGCTCAGGTCTGTCCCAGATAGGTCTTTGTGGCTGATTCTCCTCCTGGGAGGACCATGCTGGCCCCACAAGACACCAGAGCACCGGCTCTGTGCAGTTCAGTGCAGACTAGCATGCAAGTTTTCTTCCAGAGCTGGACCTGTGTGGTCCAGGCAAAGCCTGAAGATCAGGATTGCCTAAAAGCCTGGATATGGAGTCTTTGCCAGTAGGCTGGTATGGAAGTTTTGCTAGTAGGCTGGTAGACCTACACTACAAATGCACAACATGCTGTTCCTCCTTAGGGACAGGGCTCTTCCTAAGGTCAGAGTTTCTTGACAGAAGTCTCCGCATGTTCTCTCTATCTGCAAAGGGTATTTCTTTGACCTGCTGTCTCATATATAGCTGAAAAATAGTGTGGGTGTTAATTAATAAAAAAAACCAAAACCCAACCTTCCCTTCCCCCTCAAAAAGCAGCTCCTGCTGATGCAGGGCAGTCTCCTGCTCACATATTAACTTAACCAAAGAATAAGGTAAAGGTAGGCTCCCACCAGACTCAGTAGATGTTAATTACATTATTTAATAATCTAAGAGAAGCTGCCCAACTGTTATGGTGAGCAAGATGGGGACAGGACAGAGTCTCAAATACAAGTTCAGACTGCTCCTCATTTTTTTTACATATTTGCTGCTTGAAATAAACACAGGCAGGAGACCTTTCTCCTTTTTAATGCCTTTATTAAAACTGATCAGCTCAGGTGGGGAGAACCAATGGGTGCACTCTCACGCCACTGTTGCTCCCAGGAGTGACTCGGAGGAGGAGGAAGCGTGCAGCTTTGTCCACAGGCCTGTGGGCAGAGCTGGGGATTACTTCCTCACAGGATTATTGGGAAAGCCCTTGCTTTTTGGTTCAACATTCGAGGTCCTCTGTCTAGCCAACATCTTAGATTAGGATGAGGGGTAAAAAGGCCTTGGCAGATACTGGATTCTGTTCCTCACGTCTAGCCATCACTTTGATTCGTCAATTTTGTGTTGACTCGTTGTTTTAGGGTTTTTTGGCTTTGTTTCGTGAGGGGTCCATCCCGTTGCATGCAGGAAATGAGGTCATTTGCATGCCGACTCGATGTCCCTTCCCCTCCAGCGTCTGGGTGCCATCTTCCAGGGAGCAGCAGGGCAACAAAAGGGGGGATTCTTAAACATTAATGACAGGTAGTTAATGAAAACGACCGGTGATTACAAACAGTTAGAACTCCACCCTGGCAGCAACTGGCCCAACCTGTGAACTCTGCAACCTTTTAAAAAAATGGGCAGCTGTTCTACTCATAACACTGCTTAGGAAGGAAAACCTGACTGGGAACTTAAGTCAGACATTCTCTAGATAGGCTCAGAGTGAAATTCCTAGCTGCACTGCTGGTTAGTTCTTTAAACAGCATGCACTTAAATGCCAGTTAATGACTCTGGTGCACAAATCCATTGGTAGTGAAGCAGGCAAAGGACTGTTGCTGTCCACCCTGTGCATGAGCAGTGTAAATTTCTCCTCAATTGCAAGAGAGATTACCTAAGGTAATTTCTTTTGATGCTTCCCAGTTCTAGGAGAGAGTTAGCCTATTTTTCAAAAAATGCTCCGCCTTCTGGCCCTCCAGCTGAATTCTCCAGGTTCAGAGGCAGCTGCTTCCCGCTGCTACCCTGCAGATGTGCCCCTATCATTTGTGCAAAGACTGTCTTTAGGGCATGAAAGGGGTCAAATTTGATAGCTGTCTGACAAGACTTCAGACAGTTCCTGCCTCTGTGCCAGAACAGTGTGAGTTTCCTAGGCCTGCTAAGAACTGTACTGCATCGCCATGAGCTACCAAAGGTGAAATTTCTGGCTTTTGCCTGAGGGCCACTTAAAAGGCATTGTGCAGCTTAACCTCACTTGGCTACATTTAGGTTAGTTTACATTACAGAATTCAGTGAAATTGGGTGGTTGGGTGTACATCAGCCTGGGGTGAGTTTCTGTCTCCAAAGCAGTCAGGACTAAGCTCTGTCCCCCCCTGCTTTGGCACTGTGCTGGGTCTGCTAGTCAGAGATGAGTGGTAATCTCTGAGGCTATTTGGAAGATATAAAGCCCTCCTATTTTTACTTTTAAATCCCCTATTGCTTTGTTCAGGCTGCTGCTGCTGGCTCTAGTGCTGAGAATTGACAGCAGGTGCTTGTACTCCTCCCCTCCTACTAGACAGGGAACTGCTGCCAGCACAGGGGAAAGAAGGAAGACATTGTGCTGTAATGGAGGCGTAGCAGACAAGTGTGAGGCCTGATCCTCTGCTCTGGCATGTCAGACCTCCTTGCCTGAGTGTCTCAGCTGTGATCCAGCCACTTCTGATTCCTTTCTTGATGGACACCCTGCCATCCAGTGACATTTGACATTTACAGCATCCAAGTACTACTGTTGCAACTGCCATGCATCTGAAGTAGAAGACAAGGAAGCTGGAAGTTTACTTTGGAAATTGGAGTCTCCTCTAGGTGCTACTGAGCAATAAAATAACCTGGCATTCAAGCAACGGGAGGGTGGTCAGGCTGGTGTGGCAACATGACACATAAATGGGCACCATTCCCCATGGGCTCTGGCTGGCTACCTGTATGGAATGTGTGTTAGCTGCAAGGCCCTGGGAAGAATTTGTGCAGGAAACAAAATGTACCTCTGAGGTTTAGTGCATGTTTGAAGAGTGGAAAATTACTCTTCTCCGGCAACAGCTACCCCTAAATCTTTGGCAAGCCCAAATAATTAAACTTGTTGAGGGTGCAGGGAATCCTATGGATAGGAAAACAAATCTGTTGCTCAAAGTCAGGATTCAGTTTTCCAAGGGTTTGTGTCTATAAACTTTAGTTGAAGATTCACAAGTATCAAAACGTGTATTTACACATTAACTTGTTCTTCAGACAAGGCACAGGCTTGCTTTGTCCCTTCTGTCCTGTCACATGTTTCCACAAATCTTGAAGCAATATAAACTGTTTTCTAAACCTCAGCTACACCACATTAAATCCAGCTGAAATTAGCAAATGGTTTTATAACTTGTTAAAGGTGCATACACATGCCACACACACATACACAGAGAACAGTATCAAAAGGCGATTTTCCTTACAAAACCAAGGGAATACACTTCCTGTAATTGCTACTTTCACTCTAATAGTAGCCAGATATACCAAAGTCACCACTGTGCCAGGTATGGGAAAGGAGGCTCTTTCATCAATTTAATAAAAAGTAGGTTTATTTTTAACTCCACTGTTATACCCCAAAAGTGAATTTTTTGGACTGAAGAGTCCATCTGTCCTCCATTAAGTTTATGATGTGATCTCCAGCCTAGGGAGCAGTTGTTTCTTACCAACCTGTAACTTATTTATGTCTTTAGCAGATACAGTAATGAGTCTGTAAGCAGCAAGACCAGTGATCAAAAAAGCTATATTGAATTTAGTTCTACCTGAACCAAATTAAATGCCTCCATAATATGCAATGTATATTGCAGTCCCAAGAGATGAAACTGGGCTTTAAGTTTCCTTCTGTTGGTTCTGGGGCCTTCTCCCTTTTTTTTTTTTCGGTCAGCCTCTCCTTTTGCATCAGAAACAGAACCGATATTTAGTGTGCATGTATTCATCACTGATGGTTTCCTCTCTTACCTCTTCCTTGCAGGGCCCCAGGGCTGCTGCCATATGAACCTTTCACCATGGTAGCAGTGAAAATGCTGAAGGAGGAAGCATCTGCAGACATGCAGGCTGACTTTCAGAGGGAAGCAGCTCTCATGGCAGAGTTTGACAATCCGAACATCGTCAAGCTTTTAGGTATCTCACTGAGGCATCCTATTGCCTTAACAAGATGGTGCATCACATCAAAACCTCCTCATGCTGCACTGGGTATACTGCTGGCCATCTTGCTGCCTAACTCTGCTTCCAGTCTAATAACCTTGACCCAGATGTCTTACAGTGAAGACGTGAACTTCCTGGAACTGTGATTTATTTTGTGGGTACTGAAAAGAAATAGTACAAGTCTTGTTAGTTTTATATGTCCCACTTACTATTGTGATGTCTGAACACTTAATAGCATTAAAAAAACCAAAATTGAATTAACAAAAAAAGCCAGCCACAAAAACAGCCTCTTCCTTTCCTTCCATTCTCATCTGAAAGGGCATCCTTCTTTGTTGGATTTTTTTAGAAAGTCTTGATGCTGAAGCTTGGCTAATAAGACACTTTCTGAGAAGAAAGCTGCTGACAAAAATATTCTTTTAGAAGATTGTAATTTTTTTCCTGAAGTAGATGCTGCTGGCCACTTTTATCTGGAAATACTGCTCTAATTTGTTGTATGCAGATCTGATTCTCATGAACAGGGACATTTGAGATCTTAATTTATTTCAGTAGGAAGCTCCAGAACATTTTGAATTGGATAAACCACATTTTTGGGAAAGCTGGGTTGATACAGATACTTTGGCTACAGAAATGAAAAGCAGAAAGAACACTAAACTGGACTAAACTTTGTGTTTATTGTTAACACATTTTAGGCCAGAAAAGGACAAAGGTACAGGCACAAACTAGTACCAGATCATGGGGCTGTGGAGAAATAGCCACCTTGTTGAAAACAGCTTAAATGATAAATCTTCACATACACTGTCAGATCCTGATGTCATCAGAGTGGGAGCAGCCATTTGTTTTTCCTCAAAGATTCAAATATTAGGTCCTCAGTCAGAATTTCAGATTTCACAATAAGTTGCATCACCAGTTGCTAAATGATGACCCTAAGAAAGCAAAACACATACATTTTAAATGTTGGCTTTTGCTGTTTAGCATTTTAATGATAGGTACACAAATATTACTGTATCACTGTATGATCAATAAGGCTCATGGAAGTGTGGTAATGCTGGCCCAGCAATAAAGCTGATAAAGTGCCAAGCATGTAGGACTGCATTCTACATCTAACAGACATGGCAAATATCTCCTTTCTGTTGTCTGCTTTTGATTTGTCTTTCTTTCATTTTTGAATATCTGTCATGCCAAAAGTAATTCCTCAACCAACTTTTTTTGCATGAGTTGTTGAAAAAAATAAAAATCCATGAGGGCAGGAGTTTCCTTGCAATTCAAGAGTTCCACTGAACCCTTGAACGTGCCCCTTGTGAATACTTTTGAAGTCTTCCTGCATATGTGTCACCCCTATAACAATATTATTGTTTAATAACACAACAATCACAAGAAATGTAAGAATTAAAAAGTAACTTAACCAGAACTTTAAAAGTTACTTCCTGAAAGTCCTTGCGGTTGCACCTGAGAAGAGGCAATACAATATTTTAGTTAATACTAACTTAAGCAGGATTGCTTAAGTTCTTCATTAAACTTAGCTCCAAAACTCTGTGTTTTACCCAGGATGTCGGGAAAAATTTTGCATTCAGCCACGTGCATGATTTGTAAACATCACCCATGGAGCTCATCATCAGATCCCTGATGCAGGAGCTTGAAAAGAGGCAGCATGCATGATGGATGCATGCGAAGTGGATGGTATTTGCATGGCTCTCTCTCTGCATTGTAGAAAGCCTCCCTTTTGTGCTTTGTGGCTTTTGCACAGCAAAACTCTCTTTGCTGCACAAATGACCCGTGTGGTGTGTCCCCTGCCAGGCGTGTGTGCGGTTGGGAAGCCGATGTGCCTGCTGTTCGAGTACATGGCCTACGGGGACCTGAACGAGTACCTGCGTGACCGCTCGCCCCGCAACCTGTGCAGCCTGGCGCAGGGCAGCCTGGACACGCGGCTGCGCCTCCCGAACCCCCTGGCGCTCTGCTGCACCAGCCAGCTCTGCATTGCCAAGCAGGTGGCTGCCGGCATGGCATACCTCTCCGAGCGCAAGTTCGTCCACCGGGATTTGGCCACCAGAAACTGCCTGGTGGGGGAGAACATGGTGGTGAAAATTGCAGATTTCGGTCTCTCAAGGAACATGTATTCGGCTGACTATTACAAAGCTAACGAGAATGATGCCATCCCCATCCGCTGGATGCCCCCTGAGTCCATTTTCTACAACCGCTACACCACGGAGTCTGATGTGTGGGCCTATGGGGTGGTGCTGTGGGAGATCTTCTCCTACGGCATGCAACCTTACTATGGGATGGCTCACGAAGAGGTCATCTACTACGTGAGGGATGGGAATGTCCTCTCCTGCCCCGACAATTGTCCTCTGGAGCTCTACAACCTGATGCGCCTCTGCTGGAGCAAGTTGCCTGCTGACCGGCCAGGCTTTGCCAGCATCCACCGCATCTTGGAGCGCATGTACAAGAGGGCCGTGGCCAACATGTCTGTCTGAGGGATACAGTTCCCTCCCTGTCTCCTGTGTCCACCTATTTAGACTGACTTGGACCAGCCCAAGAGCTCCTGAGTGATGGTGCCTTCACACAGTGTCTCACTCAGGGAGGAGAAAAGAGCTTGCTCCACAGCCAAACAAGAAATACAGACTGTACCCCTTTATGCACCTCTTTGAGTGGGACTGTACCTCCCAAACAACAGGGCTGACCTTTAGCCACCAAGACAGGACTCCTCAGGTTGGTGAGAGTGCTGGTCATACTAACTCAGTACTTACATTTAGCATTTCCAGGAGCAAAAAGTTGCCCAGGGAAGGCAAACTAATGTTTCTTCCTAAGCACTGTTTCTTCCCTTCCTAAGAGATCCCACCATGCCCTTCTGCATTTACACTCTTGTCTTTTACCTTTTTTCCCTCTTTCTCTAACATTTTCTAGTATTATTTAAAAAAAAAAAAAGGTTGCAGAGTTCAATCTTCTTTTGGGGATACTGTTTATTATGTTATTTTCATGTACTGTTTACTATTTTATGTTTGCATACTCAGTCCTTTTTGCAGCAAAAGGATGTTTCTGAAGCCATAGGCCACTTTCATCTTCCTTTAAACTTTCACTCTCTCTCATTACGATAACACTGACAGAGTCACAACAGGAGCCTGCTGGACCACTGGCAGCCACCTGCATCTTCTGTTACAGAGACAGGCAAACTCCTGTCGAGCATGACACTTTCCATTTTCCAGTGGGGGAAGTCCAGAGTTACTTCACTTGATGTTTGCTAAAGTCTCATCTAAAACCTTTCCTTAAGCATTGCAGCACATCTTACCTACCTTCGCCTGAAGCAACAAAGCCATTTGATGCTGTGGGAGAAATTCATCCCAAAGGCCTGGTGCTGTACCTTGTAGGCATCCAAGACGTATATATTTGCCACTGCCTGGTCCTCACCATGCCAAAAGCAAAAATAAATGAATCCCCTCTTGAAGAAGCATGGCGGGTTGTATTAATTGCTTATTTCCATTTCCTTTGCAATCTTTGCCTCTTGTTTCTGGTTTCCTTTCCTGACAGACTCTCCTAAGTCCAATTACAATATTTGCTGGCCACCTTTCCTTGTGCTGCAGTTTAGAGACAGAGAAGTAAGAAAGGTGGATGTCTGCCACCAGTGTCCTTCAGAGACAACCTGTCAGTTAGGAGAAGGTAGAGAAAGTTTGCAAGAAGAATTGCAAACTGTCTATCTGCAGGGCAAAGATGAGACTGCCTCAGTAACAGCCTGAAGCCCATCTCCAAATACCAAATGTTTCTCTGCTAAAAGTTCTCCAAATTGTGATGGATACTTCAGTGCCAGAGTAAATTTTATTCCTCTGGTGATGGGTGTAACCTTTTAGCTCCTTGTAGAGTGAGGAGCAGTTGTCCCAGAGCCCCACTGCTGACACAAAATGTAGCCTGAGGCAGGGATGTGCATTATGACTATAGAGCAGGAGTGCAAATGAATGAGTGTTTTAGTGAGGCTTCTGTAACTTGGACACACTGGTTTAGCCTGCCAAGAAAGCAGCAGTAGAGAGTAGCTATCTGTGTTTTCTGAAACATAGGCTTGAAAAGGTCTGTGAATCATTATAAAGAATAGAACTGGAAAGATCATACTTTCCTCTGCTGCTCTCCTGTTTCTTTGGGTTTTTATTTTGTTGGTTTTGTTGGGTTTTTCTCATAGAACCATGGTTTGATCTGATTGTGGCCACAACAGCATGATTTAGTGTTTTCAGACCACTGGTGTTGCCTTCAATTGGAGCAAAGAGCTTGCAATTACCAAAGACAATGGTAAGAAAAGAGGTTTGGGCTGCAAAATGTTGAAGTGCTAAAATAGTACCTGCACAGTGAGTACAAAATGGCCAGTGCTGTCTTATTCATTTAGCAGTCCTACCATCATGCTGCAATTGCACAACATTTACTGAGGTTTGGATGCTAAAGACAAATACCCTTGAAAATCCCAAAGCCCTCAATTTCAATAAAAAATTGTACTAGAGTTCCTGATATAGCTCCTGTCACCGCATTATGACCACCTCGCAGTGTGCACTGTTGAATTTGTTAGGTTGTATTAGCCCCCTGTTTGAGGAGGCAGAAGTGAGGAGGCAGGCCTGGAAGGATGGAGGTGATGCTGAGCTGATACAGCATCAGCATCACCAAATACATCACCAAATACACATCCCAGGACTTATCATCTCTGTAAGGGAGAGGGCACATTCAAGATCCTTGCAGTGCTCAAGGCATCAGGCATTTTGTCACCCTCTTTAGAGAGGGCAGGGTCAGAAGCTGTGTGTGGGTAGTGGTGTGGGTCCAGGTACCCAGCACCTCCTCTGAAGCTGGAATAATTCTTACACTAAGCAAAGCGCACAGTAATAGGTGCAAAATCTGCACCATGTGCTAAATGTAAACAAACACACCCATTTACAGTGTCTGGAGGACACTCTGCCTTACTGCCTTATAGGATCCCAGTGCTGCCTTCAGTTTTTCATTCTCCCATTCCCCTAGGAAAATTATTTCAAAACCAGTTTTCTTCTTGTTAGCTGCCTGTAATGTCACACTCTAGGAATTTTCACTCACTTTCTTTGTGAAAGAAATACTCCCATAAAATTGGAAGTGTAGCCCTTTTAATCTCATTTTCCTAGCCCAAATGCTTATCTCAGTGGCCCCCTATTTAGGATAATAGCAGAAAATTTTCTTTTCCTCATCCAGCATTCCAGCCTTTGCATTATAACCATGTACTGAAGTGTGAGGTAGTCAGTGTCTGCAGGTCAGGATGGAAAAAGCTTCCTTTCTTGCAGGAGGAAAAAGATAATTTGAAGACAGACTCAGAGAAGCTCTCATCAGCATGTTCTACAGGGATGGTAATTGCTTTTGGGTACTGATCCAGCAGGAGGGCTTAGCACCTAGATGGTGCTGTACTTTGAGGATTAAATTGTAGCAGGACTTCTGCTGCCTTAGCTGGATTTTACTGTTTCCTTCTTCTGTGAGCTTTTCAGCTTGCTAGGAGCTGGAGGTTCACTGCTTTCATGACATGCCTCCTTTCACAGATGTTTTTTCTCCTTATGTTTAAGATTCTGCTGTCTTCATTCTATGTTACACAGTGTGCTGTGCCAGATTCTTCCAGACTTTCTGTGCAATTATCATGTAACACAATTTTTTTGAATGGGTGTAAACAAAGGGATTATGAGAAAGTAGAAGAGCAAGAAAAGTTTGTTGCTCAAAAAAGTTGCTTGGAAGCAAAAATATTTTGCTTTTCTAGTTTGGATTTATAATTCATGGGGAGAGAGAGGATGAATCAAAAATGAACATTTTTGTGTTCATTTTAGAACATTTGTGTGCTGCATGGTAGAGAACTTTTCTACATTTAGTTCTGTCCACACTGGCCCAAAAAATATGGAATGCTTCATGAATTTGCATGTCACCCTTGTGCAGGGACCATACTAACATGAGTTTAAGATGAACCTCTTTGGTGCTTTGGCTCCCATTCCCACTGAGAGCAGAGGGAGCCAGCAATCTGGGGCACTGGATGAGAACCCCAAGAAAAGGATTTGCAGCACATTTGATGTACCCATTCCCTTTGCAAGTGTGCTGCCTTGGGCGCTGGCAGCACATATACATCTTTATCCTTGGTGACATATTGTGAAACCTGACCAACAGAACAACACAGACATCCTTTTATGTTCCTGTGCCCTTATTTGACAGTTGCATTTAAAATGCACTTTTATAAGCTTAAATTCCATTAATGATTGGACACTGTTTACAACATGGTCAAATTTGGTTCAGATCCTCTCAAACACTATGTGGGCTAAACGTAACTGTCTCGTCTCGTTTACCCAAGGGAATATACTAGTTATTATTCTGTGATTGTTTGTTATGAATGATGGCTTTGAAATACATCCCTAGCAGAGATGTACATTTCTCATTATCTAAACCTGTGTAACTCTTGTGTGCAATATTTTATAAAATAAAGAGGCATTGAAAAGGATAATACCAATTCTGTTCTCTCTGTTCTCTTCCTTCTCCAGCATGGTCTTGGGGATTTTTGCTTTTGTTTTTGTGCTTTTTTTCTGAAAATGAATGGTGTTTCATTTTACTAAAATATCTTTGTTACAGCTTTAAAAACACAGTTGTTATACTGCAGGCAGTTGCAGTCATAAGTTACCTTTTTATGTGTGCTCAAAGGTATGTGGTTTTGGTGGGTTAAATTTGATGGGTGCTGTAGGAATAAGAAACTTTACATTAAGAAACTTTACATTATGAGAACACATTAAGGGCTGGACAAGGGAAAAGAGAATGTTTTTACAGCAATGTAGATTGGAGTCCCTTTATGACTATCCCGAAGTGTAAGATGCCTCACAGAGATGGCAATGACATCTGTCTCCCTCCAAATATCTGCTGGTATTTGTGCCTGGATTCTGGTCTCACACCTAGATGTGTGGAATTAAAATGTGATATAAAATCAAAAGGGAATTGAGTTTGCCATTTGTAGAACACAGCTGGGCAAAGTTTCATGCTGATGGGTTTATCTAAAAGGCTAAAATTTGTTTTTTCTGCATATGATCCTTGAAGATGAACTCACTCAGCAAATGTATGGGCATTTTAACTATTTAAAATTAATTGCAAATCTTTAACAATCAGGAATGGGAAATCAAAACTTTCTGACTACAATTAGTCAGGCTAACTGGAAGTACATTCTTTATTTCTCTCTCTTCTCCCTGCCACTCTCCCAATACAATCTAAAGAGTTTTCTGCAAATCTTGCTAGAAACCTTAGGGAAAACAGTGTTTTGTAAATATTGTCCTTGCTGAGCAAGTCATTAATGAATTAGGAAAGGAATTATTTTTTCATCCTCTCAGTGAGGTTGAACCATATTAAAAGGTTGATGTGCCAAGTTTTTCAAGGCACAAGAAGAAGTGATGCACTCATTTCCTGCCACCAAATGAATAGACTTTTGAATCTGTAGAGGAACATTCTTCAAGCCTGGCTAAAAAGTTGA